TACATAAAATATTCCATAAATGATGTCTAATAAAAATTAAATTATGCTAATAAAAAAAATAATTATGTATTGGGGCCTTACAATTCTTCCCCCCTTAAGTAATTTCGTCCTCGAAATTAAAATGCAAGAAACATACCAAATAAGTGAGGATATTGCATTCGCATAACTTCTTCACTTTCCCAAGTCGCTTCTTCAATCGTATGACCCCTCCACAATACTTTTACCAGTGATATAGTTTTATTCTGTAGCACTTGCTCCCGGCGATCCACAATCTGTACCGGTTCCTCTACATAAGTCAAATCTTCCTTCAACGCTATCGGTTCTGCAACTAAAACATGAGATGGATCCGATATATACTTTCGAAGCATAGACACATGGAAAACATCATGCAATCTTGATAATTCTTTTGGTAATTCCAACCGATACGCCACTGCTCCTATTCGTTCCAGAATCTTGTAAGGTCCAATGTATCTGGGACTTAACTTACCTTTCTTTCCAAACCTCATAATACCTTTCCAAGGAGAAATACGAAGAAAAACAAAATCACCAACTTCAAATTCCAAATCTCTTCTTTTTCGCACATCTACATAACTTTTCTGTCTATCCTGTGCCACTTTCATACGCTGCTGAATTATCTTCACTTTTTCTGTTGTAAGTTCAATCAATTCTGGACCCAATAACTTTCTTTCCCCCACCTCATCCCAACACAATGGAGTTCTACATTTTCTCCCATACAAAGCTTCATACGGTGCCATTCCAATAGTAGACTGATAACTATTATTATAGGCAAATTCAATCAACGGTAAATAATCATCCCAATTACCTTTGAAATCCAACACACAAGCTCTCAACATATCTTCCAAAATCTGAATAGTTCGTTCTGACTGCCCATCTGTCTGCGGGTGAAAAGCTGTACTGAACTTCAAAGAAGTTTTCATGGCTTCATGCAAACTATACCAAAATCTCGAAGTGAACTTCGGATCCCTGTCACAAACAATAGAAACTGGAGCCCCATGCAAACATATGATCACATCAACATACAAACGAGCATATTCCTTTGTAGAATAAGTAGTTTTTACTGCCAGAAAGTGAGCTGATTTCGTCAATCGATCAACTATCACCCAAATAGAGTCATGTCCTCGTTTTGATCTTGGAAGTCCCGTCACAAAATCCATGGTTACATGCTCCCATTTCCACTGTGGAACTGGTAACGGCTGCAACAACCCTGCTGGTTTCTGATGTTCAGCTTTCACTCGTTGACATATCAAACACTTTGCTACAAATTCTGCAATTTCACGCTTCATATTGTTCCACCAATAGTATTCTTTCAAATCCCTGTACATTTTAGTACTCCCCGGATGCATAGCATATATAGAACTGTGGGCTTCATCTAAAATATCTTTCTTCAAGGAAACATCATTTGGAACACAAATTCGACTTTTAAAATACAGAATCCCATCATCCCTAACTATAAATTCAGTTTGCATACCCTCTTGAGCTTCTTTTCTTTTCTTATCCAGGAATACGTCATGTATTTGCAGCTCTTTAATTCTATCCAGCAACAAAGGTCTCACCGTAACATGTGCAAACAATGCTCCTTTGTTAGTAACTGTCAATTCAACTCCCATCAGTCTCAATTCCATAATATTTGCCACCCGTGCACACTGTACACAAGATAGTCTCCCTGAAGACTTCCTACTCAAGGCATCTGCTACTACATTGGCTTTTCCAGGATGATGGTGGATATTACAATCATAATCTTTGATTAACTCCATCCAACGCCTCTGTCTCAAATTTAAATCCTTCTGTGTAAACAAATACTTCAAACTCTGATGATCTGTAAATATTTCACAAAGTTCACCATACAGATAATGCCTCCACAATTTTAAAGCAAAAACAATAGCAGCTAACTCCAAATCATGTGTAGGATAATTCAATTCATGATTCTTCAATTGTCTAGAAGCATAGGCAATTACTTTACCATTTTGCATCAAAACACATCCCAGACCCTGATGTGAAGCATCAGTGTAAATCACAAAACCCTCACCACCACACGGAATAGTTAACACTGGGGCTGACGTTAACTTTTTCTTCAATGCTTCAAAACTTCTTTGGCATTCCTCACCCCACACAAACTTTACTTCTTTCCGGGTCAACTTTGTCAATGGCAATGCGATACTAGAAAACCCTTGGATGAACCTCCGGTAATAACCTGCTAATCCCAGAAAACTTCTGACTTCTGTCACATTGGTAGGCCTTTCCCATTTCACCACTGCTTCCACTTTTGATGGGTCAACATAAATACCATCCCCAGATACTACATGCCCCAAAAAGACAACTTTATCAAGCCAAAACTCACATTTGCTGAACTTAGCAAAGAGTTGTTTTTCCCGTAACATCTGTAACACAATTCTTAAATGCTTTTCATGTTCATTCACACTCCGAGAATATATCAAAATATCATCGATGAAGACAATAACAAAAGAATCAACGTATCGATGAAATACTCGATTCATTAAATCCATAAACACCGCTGGAGCATTGGTTAACCCAAAAGGCATTACCAAAAACTCATAATGACCATATCGAGTTCGAAAAGCAGTTTTCGAAATATCACTATCCTTTACCTTCAACTGGTGATATCCTGACCTCAAATCAATCTTAGAAAACACCTTTGCCCCTTGCAACTGATCAAACAGATCATCAATTCGTGGCAATGGATACTTATTTCTGATGGTCACTTTATTTAACTGTCTGTAGTCAATACACAACCGCATAGTACCATCCTTCTTCTTAACAAATAACACCGGTGCACCCCACGGTGAAATACTAGGTCGAATAAAGCCTTTATCTAGTAAATCTTGCAACTGTATCTTCAACTCTTTCAATTCTGTCGGTGCCATTCGATACGGAGCAATAGAAATTGGAGTTGTTCCTGGTACTAACTCAATGGTAAAATCTACCTCCCTGTCCACTGGCAACCCTGGTAATTCTTCTGGAAACACATCTGTGAATTCCCTTACCACTGGTACATTTTCAAGTGTCATATCTTTATTTTCAGTATCAACCACATAAGCCAAGTAACCCTGACACCCTTTCTTCAACAACTTCCTGGTTTGTATAGCTGAAATGAGACAGTTTGGAATAACATTTCTTTCTCCTGTAAATCTAAATTCTGGCTCCCCTGGTATCTGAAAAACAACTTCTTTCCGAAAACAGTCTATTGAAGCGTGATACGCAGATAGCCAATTCATACCCAAAATGATATCAAAATCTGGTATACCCAACGGTATCAAATTTACCTTTAACTGTCTATCTCCCAATTGTAACACACAATCCCGGTATTCATTTGCAACCACTACCACTTCTCCCATTGGTGTAGAAATAAACAATTTACTATCTAATGATGAAAGTGGTCTACCCAAATGCATAGCAATAGATGATGCAACAAATGAATGGGTTGAGCCAGGATCAATAAGCACAGTAACATTTCTATCCAAAATAGAAAGTGTACCTGTCACCACTTCTGGTGTTGCTTGAGCATCCTGAAGTGTCATAGCAAACACTCTTCCCTGGGCTTGCGAACCACTTGTAACACCCTTACCTCCTCTTGACGAGTTCCCCTGTGCAAAACCTCTACCAGAACCAGCAACACTGCCCACTGAGGTCATTCCTGTCAACATAGGACAATCTCTCCTCCGATGACCCGGCTGATGGCAATGATAGCACTCTTCTGCTTTCAAGATAGGACAATCCTTCTTCTGGTGACCTTCCTTTCCGCACTGAAAACACCCCCTGCCAGTACCACGTCCTCCAAAACTACCTTGTTGAACAGATTGTTGTTCGGAAAACCCTTGACCTCTTCCAATACTTGATGTCTGGCCTTGAGATTCACCACCCCTTCCCCTTCCATACCGCGACCTTTGACTTTTCTGACTTGCAATTCCTTCACCTCCTCTTGACTGTGACGGCTCAGATCTATTTCTTTTGTATTGTTCCCTTCTTTCTTGCAATTCTTTCACATCCCTTTCGGCAATCATGGCTTTATTCACAAGTCTGTTGTAATCTGTTTCCTCAAACACTGAAACTCTAGACTTAATAGCCGCCTCTAAACCATCCTGGAATTTTGTACATTTATCTTCTTCATTCTGTACAAACTTGGGTGCGAACCTCGATAAAGCTGTAAACTTAACTTCATAGTCAACCACAGACATTCTATCTTGTTTTAGGAGAATAAACTCCCGTTCCTTCTCTTTTCTGTAAATTGGAGGGAAATATTTCTCATAAAAAGCTTTAACAAATGGATTCCAGAATATCACCTCTTTCTCTCCTGGAGTGAGCAACAAATGTTTTGTCGTGTCCCACCAATAACTAGCTTCATTTTTGAACATAAATGTAGCTAAGTTTACCTTCTGGTCTTCTGCTGCACCCATCACTGCAAATATCGATTCCATTCTTCTTACCCACCCCTCTGCTTCTTCTGGTTTGGTAGTACCTGAAAATTCTGGGGGTGTTAACTTGATAAACCTCTCATACTCAGAGCCTTTCTTCCATTTCTGTTGTCTTTCCAGCCTTTCTTGTATCATCATTTGACTCGCCATAAATAGTTTGTTTTGTTCTGCCAAGTCTATTATAGCCTTTTCCATTTTCTGCATACCAGTTAAGCACTCCTGTTCTCTTCTCATACCACCCTGCATAGGTTGTTCTACTTCAGCCTCAACAGGAACATAAGTGGCTTCACCCTCAGTTCCATGATAATCACTTTCCCTTTCCATTTCTTTTTATCTGCAATGAATCTCAAATATAACAACATATATATGATACATAATCACCACTTATATCTGTTAATATAACATTAAGTCAAATAAATGACTCTACTACACACTTCTTACTGCCACTGCCAGTCTAGACTCTTCTGACCTCCAGAACCTAGAAAACCTAGGCTCTGATACCAAAAGTTGACACACCCCAACCCAATTTACATTATTAAACAAATTGAATAAATTGGAATGCATCTAACCATCTGCATTAACCTCCTTCAAATATAACGTCATCCTACATCAGAGCACCTGTTTAACAGTTTACAATTCAAAAACTACCTATAGGCCTGTTATGCAAATTCTGACAAACAAAAAAAAACATTAACGGCAACTTATACTATTAAATTCTATTACAATATTTACATATTAAACAAAAGACGTTCCATTGTTCTTTTTCCCATTCCCACTCAAAAATTCTAGACCTGGCAGTAGCGACCCAACCTTGTACCTGAAAAAAAATATAGATATGGAAGGAGTGAGCTTAAAGCCCAGTGAATGCAACACTACTACATCAGAGTAATATAAACAAATATTATCTGATAACTTCAATTAAACTTCATTAATATATTACAGGCATTAAAATATAGTACTCTCCTTCTAGGCCAGAGTATGGACCTTGTTTAGATATAGTACTCTCTTTCTTGGCCAGAGTATGGACCTTATTTAGTGTAGTACTCTCTTTCCAGGCCAGAGTATGGACCTTATATAATATATTACTCTCCTTCCAGGCCAGAGTATGGACCCTATTTAAATATAATCAAATTATATATATTCATCTTCAACTCACATAAACAACTTCAATACTTCAATTAAACACATCCAGGTATAAACTTCCAGTGAGTACACTCACCTTGGCTACTTTTCAAATTGTCTACTTATCCTTTGATATTGCTGAAGTGATCAGTTCATTCTCCTTGCCTGGACAAGAATATAACCAAGTTATATTTATTTTCTAAAGAGAATTAAATCACAATCATCACCTCAATTACAATTCTCAAACTTTATACACCCTTTTGGCTAAATTCTAATCACATGTCTTTATATAAATTTCCAGCTTGATGACCCCAAAGAAAATAACCATAACCATGGTATTACTTACACAAAACAGCCTTTGAATAAATAAATAAAATATAAAAAAATAGATGATACATATACTGGAACAATTAATTGGATTAATTATTCAAATAACTGAATAATCAACTTCCAACATAGAAATTATAATATAAAACCCCTCACCTTTGCTTGAATTCAACAACAATTTAGAGAGAAAACCCCCTTTTTCCTTTTCTATCCTCCTCCTCCGTATTTTTCTTCTCTCTTTGAACTATCACTAAATAGCTCACTGTTTTGATATATTTTGTGTGTCTCAACCAAAACAATGGCTTTCTCAAAGGCGGTCCAAACAGGTTTAAAAAGATAGAATTAACCTTATCTATATATAGAGTATATCTACATAATTGCGTGTCCTGTGTGTTCGGTCCAGCCTTGTGCAGCCAGCAACCTGACTTTACTCATCTCTATCCATATAAATGATAATTGAAACCTATATATATATACAACTATATATTGCAGCCACCAGCCACCACTTTAAAGCATAATAACTTTAGTCTTGAAAAGTATATAGTCACATGGATGGTGTAAATCTAGTCTCCAGGAAATGTAAATTGTCACATAGCTTATGTGACATGTGTTACCCAAAGTTTAATAATATTTTCTTCTTCTACGGCTGAAAAATCCCTCCTTTGTTTCTATTTGTATTTTTATTATTTTTTTTCTTTTTCTTGTCCATGCAAATCTCTAGACAACGTGTCACTTAGATATAAATGTGATTTTCCCCTCTTCATGACTCATGCGTGTGTGTGTCAATTAGTAACAGCCTCCTTTGGAAGCTTTTAGAATAAAGTGTATTACTAGATATCTATATACATGGGTGGGTGGAATATGTACTTGACCTGGTCAATAACTTACCCATATATATAAATAACTACTTGGTCAAACTTTAAAATAAAACATAAGTATATCAATATATATTAGAACCATCACACCACTTCCACCATTTATTACCTTCAGCACCAATGACCTTAGTAGACACCCATTCTCTAGTATCACACATATAACCACACACACGTACACATGGAATATTATCATTTTTATTATTTATTTTCTTACCATTGGCTGTCACCAACTTAATAAGTTTTGACACCAACTATTAACTTCACCATACAAACTACTACATAAAATATTCCATAAATGATGTCTAATAAAAATTAAATTATGCTAATAAAAAAAATAATTATGTATTGGGGCCTTACATGTTAAGTCACTAGACCTTTTTGGTGTATAAATATTGAATCTTGGAATAAAAATAAGAGTCAAGTTCCCTTTGACGTCACACAAAGTGTTTGAATGAGTAAAGAGTGAATCTTTGTGTGAAAATACCTCAATCAAGGTACCTGTTATGCCACTTGACCTTTTTGACGCGTAATGATTGAATCTTTGAAAGAAAATAAGAGTTTTGAGTTTCAGTTATTCGACTTCCCTTCGACGTCACAAAGAGTGTTTCAATGAGTAAAGATTGAATCTTTGAATGAAAATACCTCAATCAAGGTACCTGTTATGTCACTTGACCTATTTAATGCATAAAGATTGAATCTTTGAAAGAAAATGAGAGTTTTGAGTTAAACATATTCGAGTTCGCATTGGAGTCACAAAGAGTGTTTTAATGAGTAAAGGTTGAATCTTTGAATGAAAATAGCTCACTCAAGGTGCCTGTTGTGTCACTTGACCTTTTCAATGTATAAAGATTGAATCTTTGAAAGAAAATAAGAGTTTTGAGTTAAACTTATTCGAGTTCCCTTAGACGTCACAAAGAGTGTTTTAATGAGTAAAGATTGAATCTTTTAATGAAAATAGCTCAATCAGGGTAGCTGTTATGTCACTTGACCTTTTTGACGCATAAAGATTGAATCTTTGAAAGAAAATGAGAGTTTTGAGTTACAGTTATTCGAGTTCCCTTTGACGTCACAAAGAGTGTTTTAATGAGTAAGGATTGAATATTTGAATGAAAATACCTCAATCAAGGTACCTGTTATGTCACTTGACCTTTTTTAATGCGGAAAGATTGAATCATTGAAAGAAAATGAGAGTTTTGAGTCAAGCTTATTCGAGTTCCGTTCGACGTCACAAAGAGTGTTTTAATGAGTAGAGATTGAATCTTTGAATGAAAATACCTCAATTAGGGTACCTATTATGTCACTAGACTTTTTAAATGTATAAGAATTAAATATTTGAAAGAAATTTAGAGTTTTGAGCTAAACTTATTCGAGTTCCCTTTGACGTCACAAAGAGTGTAATAATGAGTAAAGATTGGATGTTTGAAAGAAAATACCTCAATCAAGGTACCTGTTATGTCAGTAGACCTTTTTAATGTATAAAGACTGAATCTTTGAAAGAATATGAGAGTTTTGAGTTAAATTTACTCGAGTTACCTTTGACGTCACAAAGAGTGTTTTAATGAGTAAAGATATAATCTTTTAATGAAAATGCCTCAATCAAGGTACCTGTCTTGTCACGTGACCTTTTTAATGTATAAAGATTGAATCATTGAAAGAAAATGAGAGGTTTGAGTTAAATTTATTCGAGTTCCCTTTAACATCACAAAGAGTGTTTGAATAAGTAAAGATTGAATTCTTGAATGAAAATACCTGAATCAGGGTACCTGTTATGTCACTAGAACTTTTTAACGTATAAAGATTGAATCTTTGACAGAAATTGAGAGTTTTGAGTTAAACTTATTCGGTTTCCCTTTGACGTCCCAAAGAGTGTTTTAATGAGTAAAGATTGAATCTTTGAATGAAAATACCTCAATCAACTTACCTGTTATGTCACTTGACCTTTTTAATGCGGAAAGATTGAATCATTGAAAGAAAATGAGGGTTTTGAGTTAAACTTATTCGAGTTCCGTTTGACGTCACAAAGAATGTTTTAATGAGCAGAGATTGAATCTTTGAATGAAAATGCCTCGATTGGGGTACCTATTATGTCACTAGGCTTTTTAAATGTATAAGAATTAAATATTTAAAAGAAATTTAGAGTTTTGAGCTAAACTTATTCGAGTTCCCTTTGACGTCACAAAGAGTGTAATAATGAGTAAAGCTTAAATCTTTGAAAGAAAATACCTCAATCAAGATGCCTGCTATGCCAGTAGACCTTTTTAATGTATAAAGACTGAATCCTTGAAAGAAAATGAGAGTTTTGAGTTAAATTTATTTGAGTTCCCTTCGACGTCACAAAGAGTGTTTTAATGAGTAAAGATATAATCTTTGAATGAAAATACCTCAGTCAAGGTACCTGTCATGTCACGTGACCTTTTTAATGTATAAAGATTGAATCATTGAAGGAAAATGAGAGGTTTGAGTTAAACTTATGCGAGTTCCCTATGACGTCACAAAGAGTGTTTGAATAAGTAAAGATTGAATTCTTGAATGAAAATACCACAATCAGGGTACCTGTTATGTCACTTGAACTTTTTAATGTATAAAGATTGAATCTTTGATAGAAATTGAGAGTTTTGAGTTAAACTTATTCGGTTTCCCTTTGACATCCCAAAGAGTGTTTTAATGAGCAAAGATTGAATCTTTGAATGAAAATACCTCAATCAACTTACCTGTTATGTCACCTGACCTTTTTAATGCATCAAGATTGAATCTTTGAAAGAAAGTGAGAGTTTTGAGTTAAACTTATTCGAGTTCCATTTCATATCACAAAGAGTGTTTTAATGAGTAGCGATTGAATCTTTGAATGAAAATACCCTAATTATGGTAACTATTATGTCACTCGACTTTTTTAAGGTATAAGGATTGAATCTTCGAAAGAAATTGAGAGTTTTGAGCTAAACTTATTCGAATTCCCTTTGACGTCACAAAGAGTGTTTTAATGAGTAAAGATTGAATCTTTGAATGAAAATACCTCAATCAAGGCACCTGTTAAGTCACTAGACCTTTTTAGTGTATAAATATTGAATCTTGGAATAAAAATAAGAGTCGAGTTCCCTTTGACGTCACACAAAGTGTTTGAATGAGTAAAGAGTGAATCTTTGTGTGAAAATACCTCAATCAAGGTACCTGTTATGCCACTTGACCTTTTTGACGCGTAATGATTGAATCTTTGGAAGAAAATCAGAGTTTTGAGTTTCAGTTATTCGACTTCCCTTCGACGTCACAAAGAGTGTTTCAATGAGTAAAGATTGAATCTTTGAATGAAAGTACCTCAATCAAGGTACCTGTTATGTCACTTGACCTATTTAATGCATAAAGATTGAATCTTTGAAAGAAAATGAGAGTTTTGAGTTAAACATATTCGAGTTCGCATTGGAGTCACAAAGAGTGTTTTAATGAGTAAAGGTTGAATCTTTGAATGAAAATAGCTCACTCAAGGTGCCTGTTGTGTCACTTGACCTTTTTAATGTATAAAGATTGAATCTTTGAAAGAAAATAAGAGTTTTGAGTTAAACTTATTCGAGTTCCCTTAGACGTCACAAAGAGTGTTTTAATGAGTAAAGATTGAATCTTTTAATGAAAATAGCTCAATCAGGGTAGCTGTTATGTCACTTGACCTTTTTGACGCATAAAGATTGAATCTTTGAAAGAAAATGAGAGTTTTGAGTTACAGTTATTCGAGTTCCCTTTGACGTCACAAAGAGTGTTTTAATGAGTAAGGATTGAATATTTGAATGAAAATACCTCAATCAAGGTACCTGTTATGTCACTTGACCTTTTTTAATGCGGAAAGATTGAATCATTGAAAGAAAATGAGAGTTTTGAGTCAAGCTTATTCGAGTTCCGTTCGACGTCACAAAGAGTGTTTTAATGAGTAGAGATTGAATCTTTGAATGAAAATACCTCAATTAGAGTACCTATTATGTCACTAGACTTTTTAAATGTATAAGAATTAAATATTTGAAAGAAATTTAGAGTTTTGAGCTAAACTTATTCGAGTTCCCTTTGACGTCACAAAGAGTGTAATAATGAGTAAAGATTGGATGTTTGAAAGAAAATACCTCAATCAAGGTACCTGTTATGTCAGTAGACCTTTTTAATGTATAAAGACTGAATCTTTGAAAGAATATGAGAGTTTTGAGTTAAATTTACTCGAGTTACCTTTGACGTCACAAAGAGTGTTTTAATGAGTAAAGATATAATCTTTTAATGAAAATGCCTCAATCAAGGTACCTGTCTTGTCACGTGACCTTTTTAATGTATAAAGATTGAATCATTGAAAGAAAATGAGAGGTTTGAGTTAAATTTATTCGAGTTCCCTTTAACATCACAAAGAGTGTTTGAATAAGTAAAGATTGAATTCTTGAATGAAAATACCTGAATCAGGGTACCTGTTATGTCACTAGAACTTTTTAACGTATAAAGATTGAATCTTTGACAGAAATTGAGAGTTTTGAGTTAAACTTATTCGGTTTCCCTTTGACGTCCCAAAGAGTGTTTTAATGAGTAAAGATTGAATCTTTGAATGAAAATACCTCAATCAACTTACCTGTTATGTCACTTGACCTTTTTAATGCGGAAAGATTGAATCATTGAAAGAAAATGAGGGTTTTGAGTTAAACTTATTCGAGTTCCGTTTGACGTCACAAAGAATGTTTTAATGAGCAGAGATTGAATCTTTGAATGAAAATGCCTCGATTGGGGTACCTATTATGTCACTAGGCTTTTTAAATGTATAAGAATTGAATATTTAAAAGAAATTTAGAGTTTTGAGCTAAACTTATTCGAGTTCCCTTTGACGTCACAAAGAGTGTAATAATGAGTAAAGCTTAAATCTTTGAAAGAAAATACCTCAATCAAGATGCCTGCTATGCCAGTAGACCTTTTTAATGTATAAAGACTGAATCCTTGAAAGAAAATGAGAGTTTTGAGTTAAATTTATTTGAGTTCCCTTCGACGTCACAAAGAGTGTTTTAATGAGTAAAGATATAATCTTTGAATGAAAATACCTCAGTCAAGGTACCTGTCATGTCACGTGACCTTTTTAATGTATAAAGATTGAATCATTGACGGAAAATGAGAGGTTTGAGTTAAACTTATGCGAGTTCCCTATGACGTCACAAAGAGTGTTTGAATAAGTAAAGATTGAATTCTTGAATGAAAATACCACAATCAGGGTACCTGTTATGTCACTTGAACTTTTTAATGTATAAAGATTGAATCTT